GCCCTTAAACCTTAAACCTTAAACCTTAGCAAACCCTAAACCCTGCGGCGGCCCTAGGGTTTGCTTCGCTGCAGCAGCAACGCTTGGAAACCCTCGTCCGCAGCGGCGCGCCCGCTGCACCTTGCCAGGCTCTGCGCCCCACGCTTCAGGGTTTAGGGTTTAGGGTTTAGGGTTTAGGGTTTGAGTGCAGAGCGGATGTCAACGTTTTTGTCGAAGTTGTACTTCCAAGCGCTGGCGCTGCTTTGCCTAAATGGAGAAAAAGTGAAAAGTCCAAAGAGAGAGGAAAATGGATTATTGGCTTTGCCTCCAGTTGAGGTGTCTGTACAGCCTGCGCCCGCGCCCCACAGCAGCAGCAGCAGCAGCAGCAGCAGCAGCAGCAGCAGGCGCAAGCGCGGGCTGCTCGGGTGTACAGACAACTGCCCCCTCTCCAAAGCCATCGCCGGACTCAGTGCTGCCTTTTTAGTCATTATTATTATAATAGCATTAAATCGGCGGCGCTCGAAGAGCAGCAGCAGCAAGGCTGCGCTGCAGCAGCCAGCAGCAGCAGCAGCGGCGCAGCAGCAGCAGCAGCAGCAGCAAAACGCAGTCGACGACGCAGCAGCTAGCTGGTACTTCCAACCCCCAAAACACTGGAGGGAAATTGAAAAGGCAACTACAGAGTCGGAGGGGTGGGCAGCAGCTCTAGCGGACTCAAACAACTAGCAGCAGCAGCAGCAGCAGCAGCAAAATCTGCTGCAGCAGCAGCAGCAAAGGCGAAGGGAACGACGGAGTCAGAGGGATGGCGGGCAGCAGCCCCAGCCGACTCAAGCACCTGGCAGCAGGAGCAGCACAACCGCAGCAGTGAAGCTGCAGCAGCAGCAAAGGCAGCAGCAAAACCGCGGCAGCAGCAGCAAAAGCAGCAGCAAAACCGCAGCAGCAGCAGCAAAAGCAGTAGCAAAGACAGAAGGGGACGACAGAGCCTGAGGGATGGCCGGCAGCTTAAGACCACTCAAGCAGCAAACAGCAGCAGAAAGGACAGCAGCAAAAACGGCAGCAAAGGCGGCAGCAACAGCAGCAGAAGCAGCAGCAGCAGGAAAAGCGGCAGCGGCAGCAGTAAAAGCAGCAGCGGGGAAAGTGGCAGCGGCAGGAGCAAAAGCAGCAGCAGAACCGCAGCGGCAGGAGCAAAAGCACCGGCAGCAGCAGCTGCTGCTGCTTTTGCTGCTTCCAGCTGCGTCCTCCAAGCAGCAACAGCAGCAGCAGCAGCAGCAGCTTGGGTTTGCCGCGTGAACAGGATTCGGGCCTTTCCAGAGACGGCTGGAGAGTGCCGAGTTGGGGAATCGACACAATGCAAAAATAAAAGAAATAAAAGAAATAAATAAAAGAAATAAAAGAAATAATAAAAGAAATAATAAAAAGAAATAAAAGAAATAAAGAAAAGAAATAATAAAATGTAAATCGGCGCTTGAGTCTTGCAAAAAGGGTTTCCGATTTGTTTCTGCAATTTGCCGTTTGCAGCAATTTGGGTGAAATTGGAATTTTGCGAATTTTGGATTAAATTAAATGAAATTGAATTAAATTGAATTAAATTTGATTTCTAATTTCAATTTAATTTAAAATCGGCGCAAAATAGATCAAAATGGCGCTTGAAATTCCAAAAGTTTGAAATTTCGGCTTTTGAAAAAGTGCAAAAGGGAGTAGCGGCAGGTGTACGTACACCCCAAAACACGTGCCGATCTGTTCATTTGAACTTCTTCTCTTTATCTTTTCTTCGTCGCCTCATTATATTCTTTTTCTTTTCATTTCTTGAGTCCATCACTTCATTATTTTTATTATTTTTCACCTCCATTTGCACTTATCTTTTTGATCTTCGTTCCTCTCCGTCCACCTCCACTGCCTTTCTCTGTTTCCATTTATTTCCATTTATTTCCATTCTTCTTTGTTTGTATTTACATTATTTGCATTTATTTGTATTTGGGAAAAAGAAACTCTCTTGAAATGAACACAACTGTACAGTTCGAGCGAAAGTGCAAAGAGTTGCATTCGGGTGTACGTACACCCGAAGGCCCCGAAGTAGCCGCACTCTGGAGTGTCTGTACAGGACGTTTTGGAGCTCTTTTTGAACCCAAAACGCGAATTAACACATTCAAACAAAAGGCACTTTAATGGCAATTCATTTTATTTGTTTCCGTCATCTTTTGCTTCTCTTCCTGGGCCTTCTGCTGCGCACTCGCGGGTGTGCGTACACCCCAGCTAGGTGCCAAAAGTGGTCTGTGGAGGCTTGAATATATATTATAATATATATATATATATTAATTTTATATATAAATAGATAAATATATTATATATAGTATATGTATTGTGTATGTTTTTGTACGCCTTATATATATTATATATCTTTCTATGGCACATAACATTATATATATGTAGACCGTGTAAATCTATGAAATATATATATTTCAAATTCATAAAATGTACATATATTTAATACGAAATAAATAATAAATAATAATGTATACTTATATGTACATAATATATGTATGTGGGCACTAATATATATATATATATAATATATATATATGCATAATATATGTACATATTTATAAGCATTGCACAGTAGTATATATACTTTTATATATATCTCTCTTATTTAAAATTAAAGACACAAACAATTTGCAAAAGGAACTTAAGTGAACTAAAAAGAATTTATGGTCTATAAGGGCTGCGTTGGGTAAAAAGAAATTCGAATTCTTTGCTTGGAGGGTTTCGCGGTTTTTGAGGTGTACGTACTCCTCAAAAACGAAGGGGATGGGGAGAAGTGCAAGAAAATGGGATTAAATTAAAAATGGAAAAAGAACTAAAAAAAGGACAAAGTTAGTTTAAATGAAATGCTAAATCAAAAAGCCCTCATAACGTCCATTTGCATTTCCTCCTGCTGTATGTACATACACCCCAAACGCATGCGTTCTCTGCACTGGGAGATAAAACATTTCTTCAAATCTTTAAATCCATTTAATCCATTTAATCCATTTAATCCATTTCAGGTGCATCTCGGGCAGTGTATTAATAAATAAATAAATAAGTATAAATATATATAGTATGTATTTAATTCCGTTTAATATAAATGCATATTTATGTGTGCATGCATACGGTGTACGTACACTTCAAGTGTATGTACAGCTGCTTGCATGCGCATAAATATATATATTTATATAATGCGCTTCGCAGATTTTAAACCAGTAGAGATATTCTTTTGCAAAAAAGATTATTGGCACTATGGTTTAAAGTATTTTTTTATTGAACACTTTTGCATGTATTTCAACTTCACGGAAACTGCGAGACTTTCAAGAAAAAAAAATTTAAAAAGTGCATTTGTGGACTTCTATAAATGCAATTCACAGACGCAGTATTATATTCTACGTGAACAAATATATGTATTATTTACACTCATATACACATTTATATATATCAGTATCTGTATTAATAATATATATATTTATATCTAAATATATATATATATATTTATTATACACTTATTCTATATATATATATGTGTGTATATACTAGTACATCTGTACTAGTCTACATATATCCGCTTCTTTATACTTCTACCTTTATATATTGTGGGCTTGTTCTATTCCACTGAACTGCATGGACTTCCAGAAAGTGAAATGAATTAAACTGAATTAAATTTTATTAAATTTTATTGCCTTAGGTTGCATTCCAGTGTATGTACAGGGGACAGTGGGGACGCGGGGTCCGAAATTTGTGCCCGTGAAGTGTCCGTACACGGTAGTGGACTTGTTTGTTTTTGGCGAGTTTTCCGGACTTTTCCGGAACTATTAATTATTCAATTTCGGTAATTCTTAGACCATTAAATGCGTCTTGAGTTGGACTATTTCTGCATGCATTTGGTTTTCCATTTGGTTAATTTTTACAAGTTTTACGACGACATATGTAAAAACAAAGAAACGCCAATTGCGCAAATACCAGCTGCTGCATGCACCTGCAAACGGCCCTGCACGAGCAGTTTGCAGCCTTTCCTGGTGTAAAGACGGAAAGATCCAAAAAGTCAACAGCTATTTGATTTCCTCTTCATTTTTAAGTCATTTCGAATTCATTTATTATTGTTTCAATTACTCTTCAACACAACCGACTCTATTTATTCCTTATTTCCATCTTTTCCACCCAAATCCAACTCCTCCTCGAGCTCAGGGGACCTGCAAATGTGCAGAGGGGCCCCCGGGGGGCCCCCGGGGGCCCCTTGGGGCCCCCCGGGGGCCCCCGGTCTTTGGAAAGTGAAAGAATATCTTTATTGAATTCTGACGAAAGTGAAATGCGTATTGCTGGTTCTTCTTCTCACTTATTATTACTATTGTGGTTTATTGTTATTTATTATTATTATTAATTTATTATTATTATTATTATTTATTGTGAGTCTCTTACTCAGCTGCATTTACGAGAGGCTTCCAATGAGCTGCCCCGAACGCTCCAGGTGTACGTACACCTGAACTTCATTTGTGGTTTAAAACAACCCTCAAAAATCATTTTTTATTCACTGCTGCCGGTCTTGCTGCTGCTGCTGTTGCTGCTGCTGGTGCTGGTGGTGGTGGTGTTGCTGCTGCTGGTGTTACTGCTATGCTGCTGGTGTTGCTGCTGCTGCTGGTATTGCTGCTGCTACTGCTGACGTTGCTGCTGCGGCTGCTGCTGCTGTTGGTGCTGCTGTTGGTATAGCCGGTGCTGGTGTTGTTGCTGCTGCAGCTCTTAGTGTTGCTGCTACTGCTGCTGCTGCTGAGATTGTTTCTGTTGCTACTGGTAGTTTTGCTGCTGCAGCTCTTGGTATTGTGTTGCTGTTGTTGCTGGTCTTCTTGCTGCAGCAGCAGCAACGGCTGCTGTCGCTGCTGCTGCTGTTCCCATTGCTGCTACTTCTGCTGCTGCATTAGCCCTTGCTGCAGCATTAGCTCTTGTTGCTGCTCTACTGGCTGCTGCTGCTGCTGTGGCTCTTGCTGCTGCCCTATTGCTGCTGCTGCTGCCGCAGCACTTCAGCTGCTGCTGCTCTCCGGGACACCTGTCTATGAAGCAGCAGCAGCTTAGCATCAAGTTGAAAAATAAAAAACTAAAATAAAATAAATTTAGTTAAAATAATTAAAATATAAAATTATAAATAAAGAAGAAAACACATTCTAAAAAAGAAATTGAAGATAAAAAATAATTACTTTTAAAGAGACAAACGCCTCGCAGTTGCTGCAGCTGCAAAAGTCGCTGCCAAACCCTAAACCCTAAACCCTAAACCTTAGATATCGCAACGCCCGTGTGGATCTGGCTCTGGCAAACCCTCGGAGTCTTTCGCTAAATCTAATGAAGTTTATATTTATTTATTTATATTTATTTATTTTTATCCATTTATTTATATTTATTTCCTTCTATTCATTTATTTAATTTGTTTTATTTATTTGTTCAAAAGAGCGGCAAAATCGCATTTTGAAATTTCGCAGTTCGTTTGGAGGACAAGAGCGGTTCGCTCAAACCCTAAACCCTAAACCCTAAACCCTTCGCGCTAGCGAGGGCGCGTTGGTGCGCGTCGGGGGTGCAGCAGCCGTAAACCCTAAACCCTAAACCCTAAACCCTAGCGGGTGCGGTTCTGAGGGTTGGCGGGGTCGTTTTGCTTCGTTTTTCGCGGGCTCGCCTCGAGGGTTTAGGGTTTAGGGTTCGGGACGAGGGTTTAGGGTTTTCCGTCGAAGCCCGTGAAGCCAGAAAGCAGAAAAACTGGAAAATAACTTTTTCTTTCAATCAAAGAACACCAATTCCAAGCTGAAGTCAAACGGCCATCTATGCAGCTGCCCGCGTCGAAAAAATTGTCCGCCCCCGAGCCATCAAATGCGTGACGAAAGAAATCGCACAAAATCAACTTCCTACGCGCAAACCCTAAACCCTAAACCCTAAACCCTAAGCCCTAGCCCTAGGCCCTGCGAGGGCCTGCAGCCTCAACCCCAGCTCCCGAGCCATTAAATGCGTGGCGAAAGAAATCGCACAAAATCAACTTCCTACGCGTAAACCCTAAACCCTAAAC